ATGTTTGAGACCCCTTCCATCAGACCCGGTGACGTAGTTTTGAAACGCTCCCTAGGAACGTTGCTGTACTCATCTACCGAATCACTGCATAATAGACAGTAGTGATTCAGCAGATGAGGTACTCGTATAGACAGTGTCTATACTGCCTCTATACCTCTCGTGCTAGACAGGGTCTGTAGTGCCTCTTGTAGTCACATACAGACTGTTTTGCCTTTATATGACTGCAAGTCTACAACCACATAACTATACTAGTGGTGGTAGTACGTGGTGGTACGTGGTGGTGGTACGTGGTAGAAAAAGTGGTACGTTCGAAGCATTAAGTTTAAAGGATCTGTTACGCAAATATGTTTCTACTCCGCCCTACGGAAATAATTTTTGTGTTGCGGATAAGTTATTTACTCGCTTGCTCGGGATGTGGAAAATTGCTCGTCGGCTGGGGAAAACACAGAAATGTCTGCTCGAAAGGTCGCTCCACTGATCTCCGTCTGCTCCCCGTCTTGCCGGTTCCCGTAGCAGACCCCGAAATTCCAGACGCACCAGTTGTTCAAAATTCTGAAATCTCAAGAACTTGTTGGCCGCAAGACGATTTGCTTGCATCATGGAACGAATCCCTCGTGCTGTTCGCCCGCAAGCTGCAGAGACTAGCCTGCACTATCGAGCATTTTGTAAAGGAACCCACTGCTGCTAAATTGTTGCCTTTACTTTTGTTTTGTGCATTGGTTTTTAGTGTTGACGGTGGCAAGGATCCGGAAAAGCAGGAGTCCCTCACAGCACGAATACGGTGACAGCTGCGGAATTTCAAAGTTGCATCCGTGAAGAAAAGTTACCTCCCGGTGACAGCTGCGGAATTTCAAAGTTGCATCCGTGAAGAAAAGTTACCTCGGCTCCCCATCGTAAGTCAGACACACAAGAGCAACTTCGCCGCACACACGCAAATTTTATTGATGAATGTAACGTGCGAGCGACTGTTACGCGCTTATCATCAGAGGATGCCGTTATGAAAATCGATGAGGCGGTCCTGGAAGGACTGAAAACAAAGCACCCCTCGCAACCAGACGACTCATTACGACGGTCTCAAGCCACAACACACCACATGCTAAACTGCAAGAAGGCCGTGGACTTACTGCTTTGTTCAGTCCTGATAAAGTGGGCCAATTTCATACTTATCGGGAAGATGCCTAAGGAGTTCTGCCCTGTCCCCTTTGGAGCAAACCTCATCGCACTGCGTGAAAAAGACGGCGGCATTCGCCCTATTGCACCTGGCCTGTTTTATCGTAGGGCGGTTTCTAAGATCGTGACACGGAGGTGCGCCAAGAAGGCCAACCTTCCCGAAGTATTATGCGCACTTCTGGAGCGCATACTCCGCACCTTCCATACTGGCATGCGGCACCGATGGCCACACGATTACCTCCGCCACTGGCATACAGCAGGGTGATCCAGGTGGAGCCCTGTTGTATTGCCTTGCCGCTCAGCCCATATCCTCCAATTTAACGTCGGAGCTCGGTGAGTTCTTTCTCGATGATGGGGCTCTGGGAGGAAAGGTGTAGCAGGTGGAAATGATTTGGTCAAAATCATTGCGGAGGGTCAGCACGTTGGACTGGAGTTAAATCCCGGAAAGAGCGAGTTGTTCGTACTGGGAGGCTCCGACATTGAACGCAAGACATTGTGAACAAGTTTCATGCAAGCGCCCCCGGGGCGGTTGTACTAAAGCCTGAAATGTTAAATTTGGTGCACCACTAACTTTGGAAGCTCTGATGGTCTGCTTACAAGAAAAAATTGCGACCCTGAAATTGCTTCTAGGTCGCTTAATGTTAATAAGCGCCCACCATGCCTTCTACATCCTGCGGAAATGCCTGGCCATACCGAAACTGCTCTACACATTGCGATGCAGTCCGTGTTGGAAAGCGCCCGTCTGCCTGGATGAGTTTGACGAGTTGGCACGGGTCGCCTTGGAGACAATCACAAACACTCGTTTACATGGACCCGTATTCCTGCAAGCGTCTCTCCCTGTGGCGAGAGGAGGTCTCGGTGTCTGTTGGACGAAAGCACTGGCTACTTCGGCCTTTTTGGCCTCCGTGTTTCCACCCGTACGCTGACGACTGGGATTTTTGAACGCTGCAGTGATGAGACCATTGAGGCGGCGGTCGACTTGTGGAAGCGTCAGGCTGACTGTACCGATACACCACCAGAACCCGCTCGTGTGCATCAGCGTTTGGGACCACACAGTCTTGGAAAATGACACGAAGGAGATGTGTGCAGCAACAGGTACCGACGACCGAAATAAGCGCGGCTAAACGCCATTAGCAGCAAGTATGCCGACGCATGGCTAAATGCTCTGCCATCAAAAGTCTTTGGAAACTGGTTGGACGATCAATCATTCCGCATAAGCGTCGGCTTATGGTTGGGTGCCAAAGTAGTCGAGCAGCATCGTTGTCACAATTGTGGTAAGAATGTCGAGAAACTGGTCTCCATAGGTTATCGTGTAAGAAAGCTGGCGGTTTATGGCGCGAGAGACACAATGGCATTAACGATATTGTGCTGCTCTCTTGGGGTAATGCGGGGATCGAGTCGTATGCGGAGACTGCTGGTTTTGTACGTGAAAACGGTAAGCGTCCAGACGGTGCAACACGTTGGAAATGGTTCCGAGGACTACCACTTGTGTGGGACGTTATCTGCCGCGATACGATGTGTGACACGTATGTAGAAGCTACGTTCTGATTAGCAGGAGTCGCCGCTGAACAGGCCTTCGTGAAAAAGATGAACAAGTACCGCAGCATTTTGGAAAGATGCAATTTTGCACCTTTGGCATGCGAGTCTTTTGGCACATGGTGTGAAGGCGCCATTGTTGTTTTTATAGAAATCGAGAAAAGGTTGTTTGTTCGAACTGGCGAGTCCCGATCTACCTCTTTTTTGTTTCAGTGGCTAAGTTTAGAGATTTGGCGTGGTAATGCTCAGTTGGTTTTGGCGACCTCACGCTCCAACTGGGATCATTTCTTCATTTTATTAGTGAATGTTGTTTTCGTGACGGTGTCCACTATACTCAAGGTTAATTCAGGGCCGTGGCGAGGGGGGAGGGGCGCACGGGCGCACGCACCCCCCTCCTCGGCTAACTTGTGCATTTATTTTGCGCCCGAAACAGGCGCACGGGCGCGCCGGCGCAAAATTCAAAGGATTTTTTAAGGGCGCAACGGGCGCCGGTACCGGTGCGCCCGTGGCGCATGCGCGAGGCCATGTTAAACTTGAATAAAATTTTGTGAATTCGGGAATTAGGCACACAGTAAACTTTGATCTGATGTCCAAAGGGAGCAGGGTTGAAGTAAAGTCCGAGAAATAAGGGATGCGCAACGGGCACAGACTTTTAAGTCCAAGGGCGCAGTGGGCGCTGGCCGAACTTCAAAACGGGCGCAGCTGGCGCAGCCAATTTGCGCACTTCCCCATCCGTCGGACCTCGCTACGGGCCTGAGGTTAATAAAGGTTTAAGTGGTGGTTGATAATAAACAGGCTAATTTTTTCTTTTGGCTGATCGCTGAACGCTGTTAAAATTACAGTTGCGCAAAATTAAAAGCAAATGCGATGGTAGTTAAGTGTGCATCCGTCGCATCGCGCTTACCGGATAAAGAGCACGTACGTACGTGCACCTCAACTCAACCCGGATATGCAGTGCTTTGCTAAGCGCACAGGCTTTACGGTAACTTCGCAAGTTATCGTCGTGGCTGAAGCGGTCTTGCCCTAAACGTCACGAATTTGGGGAGGAGCCACAAATAACAGCAGTAAAACTTAGAGCTAGTGAAAAATTAACCTCTATAATCACATCATTGCACCGAGCGCGTGTTATGCATTTCCAGTAAAATGTGAAAATCGTGCGTACCACTGGAAATGGAATCGATGTGTGGAATTCTACATATACCATAGGAAAGAGGGTTATAAATATCTGTAAGCACTCACTTGATTATCACCAGAATCTGATAAGATTTAATACAACGTACGAAAAATCTGCCCGTACGAGGCTTCGGCAGATAGCATGAGACGTCCGTAGCCGGACTATCCCGACGAAGTCTCGATCAACCGCACCTTAAAATGAAGAAAAATGCGGCGGCATAAAAAATCGGCATTGGTCGATGAATCGATACGAGATATCTGTACAAGGGCAACGAACGATTCGAACTGCGCCACGAAATCCATCGCTCTCGCTTCCGGAATGGTTCAAAATTCTCTTGATTTACAACCTTGACATCCTGGGTAACCGCAAAAAAAAATAAATTTAGAAGGAACTTTATAATAATTTATTAAAAATATGAAACGTATAATTATCTAGTACTGGAAATTATTTCGGTCTATGGGCTGGTAGTGCCGGTTCCAATGCTTTTTTTTGCCGTATATTGATTCTATATGACTTTTGATGTTATAGATTATTCTAATGAAAAGCAACAAAGTGGTTCATAGCTCATAGTTCATTCTATGTATTTCCACCCTGTCAGGTTCTAAACTGTACTTAATTCCATAAAAATGTATCACCAGAATCTGGTAAGATTTAATACAACGTACGAAAAATCTGCCCGTACGAGGCTTCGGCAGATAGCATGAGACGTCCGTAGCCGGACTATCCCGACGAAGTCTCGATCAACCGCACCTTTTAAAAATCGGCATTGGTCGATGAATCGATACGAGATACAAGGGCAACGAACGATTCGAACTGCGCTACGAAATCCATCGCTCTCGCTTCCGGAATGGTTCAAAATTCTCTTTGATTTACAACCTTAACATCTTGGGTAACCGCAAAAAAATAAATTTAGAAGGAACTTTATAATAATTTATTATAAAATAAGAAACTTGTAATTATCCAGTAATGGAAATTAATTTGGTCTATGGGCTGGTAGTGCCGGTTCCAATGCTTTTTTTTGCCTTATATTTATTCTACGCCTACATTAAGACTTTTGGTGTTATAGATTATTCTAATGAAAAGCGACAAAGTGGCTCATGCTATTCTCCAGCCTGTCAGGTTCAAAACTGTACTTAATCAATTCCATAAAAATGTAAAAATGATAACGTAATCACAATGTACAAGTACAACAACGTACCATACACAGAACGTAACGTTTTAAAACTGCGCAGAAAACATTAGTTCAACAACATTTCCTAATGGGAAACGAAAAATCTAACCACCAAACAACTTGCAAACAGAGTATGTCTAAGAGAGAGAACAAAACATTGTCATGGCTAAGCGCAAATATTGTACACCAACGTAACACATACCACAGAAATATGACGGAACTGACAAACCTAACAAATTTCTTCACACACAACGCATCACATCACACTTTCGTGGACGGCAGAGGATCATCCGAGTCGAGAATCATTTCCTCAAAACCATACACTTCCACCACCGCCGATTCAAATTCGCCATTCTCACAGAATGCCGGATTGTCGAAGGTTGCACACGGGCTAGAGAATCCTCGCGCCAGCGAATTACTGAAACATATTCCCTGGCCACCCCTGAAACGATGCGAACACACAAAACCGTCAATGGAAGACCAGTTCATCGTTGTGCAGCTTTTTACCGCCACTTACACACCAAAACGTAAATAAAAAAAATGAAAAATAAATAAAATCAAGTAAAGTGATTTAACAACCGCATTTAATAACAAGGAGTAGGAAAATCACTCCCATTGATTTCTGGATCGTTAAACTAACTGTTCTATTCATAACATTCTTTTGTAGTCCACACTTTAATACAAAACAAATTCTCGGATAATTTTTTGCTGCTGCGGTGGCTGAGTTATGCGCACTCAAAGAAAACCGGCGGAAAAGCGACAAAATTTTGCCCACGCTCGATTACGACAACGTTTGTCAGAAGCTAGCAAGTGGCATAAGAGGTGAAGAAAAGTCTAAAAAATGCTAAGATCAAACAGATAGGTTTGAGGTAGGTCTGAAGGGAAGGTAATTCTAATCGATTCATGAAAAAGCGTTTGTCTATGGGGCATCCGCCTGGTATGTTGACTTTTAATTATTTAAAAGTATCAACGATCAAAATTACAATAATCATGTGTTTTAATTTAGCGTTTTAATTAACAATTTAATGGCGACTCGGTTATCAACTTACCCGCCGCCGATTATCAACGAGTTACTGTCGGCCGCCATAAACAAACACGAATCCGGCGTCGTCTTTCTCCCACATAGTCCCACCCAGGGATACAAGCGCAAAACGGGATCAAAGGAGAACAAGAATGTTTCACCCGTCCCGAAAAATAAGTATTCCTTTTTCTGCAGCCAAAAACACCACCCATGGTGAAAAATAGCCAGATTTCAGCACTGAAAAAGTACTTACACCATGAACGCGCTCATCCCAACTGTCGGCGCAGAATGCCCCGAAAATTTCCCCTTTCAGCGTCTTCACCGCGATAATGGTAGATTTGTGACCACGCGCCGAGACGAAAAAATTGAAGAGACTAATTCCATCTTCACTGGTGGAGAAAATTAGTTCCGGCGCGTAGATGCGGAAGCGGAACGGAAGAAAACGCCACAAATCTTGAAACTGCAAAATCAAAATAGATCATGGCGACCTGAATTCGGGAATTGTTAAAACAAAAACCAAAATGCAAAAGCCAACCAGTTTCCTTTAACTAACTGGTAAACAAATCGTTCCATCAATTCTGATATACACCTTAATCCATCGGCTATTTCTACTGGTTTGGCAACTTTCCAGCTTCATGTTTTTACAGTTGTTAATTGCAATATTTAATATGGACATAACAGCAGTTAAGCACCGTAATTTGCTACCGTAACTTATGTACGATATTACGAATCTACTTACAGCTTACTGAATTTAAGGACACGGGTACTGGGTAGTTGCATAATATAATATTCTTGTGCTAATTTACTTAAACATACACTTTGAAGCATATCAACTTCCGCATCAGTACTACACATTCTACACAGCTCTGCAGGCAACTTTTATCTATAACTCTCTATTTGCTGAAGGACCGGAACTAACACGGCGGCATAAATGCCGGGAACAGGCTACCGTACGTGAGCACTGGAGACATTTTAATTTCGTCTACATATGTATATGTACGATGTCGAGAAACCGTAGCGGATGCCCAGGTCGGCATGACAATCGTTTTGCAACAACATGAGACAATTTCCCACTGCCGCCTCGCTCTTTTCTCTCAAAACACGTAACACTTTATCGATCCCGAATCCCAGATACTGATAGTGTCATGGTCGATCATACACAAGGTTATCCCGGGATGGCATCCCGTATAACATGATTAGGTACTTTATGTTGGCAGCATTAAGCCGTAGATAATACGCACGGTATAAACAGAGTAGCGTCGGTAAGAGGTGGGATCTTCGGCGTCCGATTTGATGATTGTAGATTTATAGTGTAAGTAAATAAAGTAATTATGTATACCAAATACGAAGCGCGTACGCCGTACTTTATGAACACATACCGCGACCTCCGCTATTCTAATTCGGACCTTATTGCGCGATAGCGTTATTTACCGGACAATGAATTCGATTCGGGCTGTTACCGAAGTTCTGTAAAATGAATGCCACCAAAACGGGGGCATCGACAGAACTTCAGTTGACGCGACCGTGCATGTGCCATTCATTTTGTCCCAAACAGACACCGATGACGAAACGCGCCTATTCAGAGAACAAATCCACACCGTGCAAGAACTTCTTGCTTGGTTTTGACGTGCTCTCTGAATTAAATCAACATTAACGTAACAGTCAGCCAGTAAGCAACAACAACTTTACCCAAGTAAGACAGAAAGCAACTTCAGTCTAACACGATACTGCTCCCAAATCTTCCCATAACCTCAAAAGATTATCTGAGCGTCTTGATGAAATTCGGAAATCGCCTACCGGATTTTTACGTGAAATGGAAGAATTTTTATTATACGTAAGCGCAGCTGAGAGAGAAACAGACTGTTTTGATTATTTTCGTTTCGTTTAATTATAAATATTTTCATACGTTTTTATTTTCATTTCCAGAAAAATTTTGTCCGCCTCTGTTGGTCGCTTCAATTTTACCTCTTGGTCACTGAGAATACTGCCCACGGCTTTCACCAGCGCCGACACAATCGGCTTTTCCGGCTCCGCGACATCCGACTTCTTCGGGCGCGTCCAGAACGACAACCTCCGCGATATCTTCCGCAATCCGGATTCGGAGGAGACCTTCCGCGATCCCGACGCACTGCCCGGCGGCACGGCCAACGTGTCCACAGCCCGGACCAAGGGGGCCAGCTCAAACTGCACCGGGCGGACCGTGCCGCGGACATTGGCCGTCGGGGTCAGGACCCGGCGTTTCGGTCGCCATTTCTCCAGTAAACCGACATATAACAGGAAATTCAGGGAATAATTCACCAGGGCGATGATGTGGATGACGGGGTAGTAGTCCATGAAGGTCGCCTCGGGAATGGTCAGGGCGCAGCTGGGATAGCTGGAGAGGGTCAGTAGGAGGATGAAGATCATGTCCGGGAGGTGGGTGATGAGGTACAGCAGGATGCAGCGGCTCAGCATGCGCCCGGGGGAGGACAGGCCCCACCAGCGCGCTTTGAGGGGAATGGCCGGCGGCACGGAGTGGGAGGAGCTGGCTTTCTCTTCGTCCGCTTCTGCAACAACTTGCATCCATAAAACTAAATGCATGTATACCGAGAGGTCCAACACAAGACAAACAGACAAAACGCCCGGACAGCACAAAATCCACATAAGATAGATCGCTTTTTTCACTACTGAGTGCTTAAGGACTCCCTCTTCTTTATCATAAACTAGAACAGCAAATGTGGAACTTTTCACTTTTACTGGTAATGCCGAGTAGAACAAAAGAGCGAAAAATTGGAAACCACAGAGAAAAAGTTGTATTTGGCATGTATGTACTTCCGACTTCGGTATGCCATACTCAAGCTCGTAAAAAAGGAACACAATCACACTTATCACAGTATATTCAGTACTGAAGAATTCGAGCTAAATTAGGTCGAATCGAATCGCGGAACGTCATAGAGCCTTCGTACGAGTATTCATGAAAGCGATGCAACAAACTATCAAACACAAACTAATGTATCTCTTGCACTACAAACCAGTTCGTTTATGACGCTTCTATCAGGAGCAGAGCCATTACTTTTCATAAAAAACCGTTAAAGTTTCTGAAATTTCGAATACAAAAATTTCGGTCGGGCTTTAAACTTACAACTGATAACTGCCACTGCCAGTAAGGACAACACCATTATAGCAAGCTGCAACAGGCGATACAAAGCAAATGAAATAACTATTCTAAAAATTGTGATAAAATGCTTTTTATATTCTCGATTTATCCCTTACATTTATTTTCTGTTTTTCATATTGATAATAACATTACCGTAAAAGTTTTCTTTTAGTATACCACTATTTTCTCACCATGCAGCGTCGTTAGCGCCATGCTTTCGGCCATAGTACCGACTTCCTTCGTCTCCACGGGTTTCTCAGTATCCACCGTTCCGTTACTTATTACCGGCCGCGATTTGGGATGCTTCCATATGACCACAAAAACCGCCACGCTGACAATCAGCACCAGTCCATAGGTGATGATGGGAATGCCGATCTCAAAGGATGAAATATCCAGACTGCGATAGATTCGGGAGAATTTATTCAGATAGTGGCACACGCTCATGGGACACACGGCCTCCGTGTCGGAGCGCCATTCATGATAGAAAATAATGTGCGGAATGGAGAAGAGCAGACAGATGATGGTCAGGACGAAACCGGAAACGTAGCCGTGAAACGGCTCCATCGTCAGCCGGGGCCGGGTGATCGTCAGCAGTTTGGAGATTCCATGTAAAATTAAAATCCTACGAATAAACGGAACGAATTTAATGCTCTGCACGATCCGATGGCGATTACACACTTTAATATAGCGGAATAAAAAACACATAAAAAATTATTTAGGAATTTTCGCGGCTTTTTTTTATTCGGGAATACGTAAATTTCGTTTCAGCAATCACGAAATGTTCTGTTTCACAATTAACATTCCGGCTGTATACCGCTTCAGTGTTGAACTGCATATTTTTTTATTTACTTTGCGCAAAATATGTATTTCATTAATTTCCTGGCTTAAAAAATTTATGCACAAGCCATAAAAAATATGTAAAGAATTGTTTATTATTCCAACTCTACTGCTGTCAGTGAATACGAGATATCAAGCTCTGTCATTAACAACTTCTGGTTGTATACCGTTGTAATGTTAAACCGCATCTTCCGGATCTTATATTTTCTCATATTTTATTTTTCTCATATTTTGCGCATTTATGTAATTCATTTCATTACTTACTTTCTGGTTCAAATACGTTACCGGAGAAAATGCTGCTTACTTAAACACATCTCGTTTTTAACGGCTGGTTAAAAAGAAATCGTCAAAGCGATAAAACCCGTACCAGTTGGAGATGAGAATAAAGGTATGCTGTGTCCACATTAATGTTCCCGCTGTGCGTCGCAATGCTTCCACAATACTCGAGTCATCACGAATGCCATTACAGTAGCAGCCGAAATATTCCGGCAAATCGAGAAACCTGCAACACCGGTATGTCACGTTTTTTATACACACATCAAGTACAAGTGCACTGTTTTCACCGCGAAATGCATAACAAAAAACTCTGGCGATTAAGTCGTCAATCTGCGATATAAATACCGACGTTTAGCCGGATGTGACATCGGCAGAACAAAATACACCACGAAATGTTAATGAAAAGTTTACAACCACTCCGCCCTTTTCAACCAATTTCGTTTCCGGCAGATAACGGATACTGTAATACCGTCCCGTACATTATAATGGCATTTTTGAAATACTTGAGCACATCAAGACTTTTTGTAATTTGACGCTATCGCATGTCTTCAGTACTGAAACAAAAAAATGGCTATTCAAAAACTAGAACGATTTTCGATTTTTCTCTGTTTATTAAGTACAGTCTGTACAGATAGTGTACCTGGATTTCATAAGTACGGTTTTCTTCATGAATTACTTAAACAGTTTTAATTTTTACAATAAACGTCAAATGCAAAGACATAGGCATACCGTACAACTGAATATGAGAATTTATTTTTAAAAATAATTGTTTAATAACAAGACGCCGCTGTCGCGCTTAAAAAAATTATATTTCGCGCTCTATCTAATCGACAAAATTATTTATCAAAATATTTACTTTTCCGTCGTTCGGGTGATCTTATCTCTCCCAAGCTGACTGCAGAAATTTCGCCGCGTACGCGTGCAGCAAAACGCGATGCCATCAGCACATTAACCACAAAAATGCCAACGTTCTAAATTTACAATCAAAGTGCCCACTCCATGAACACGGCGAGGATGATCGGTTTACACAGACGTAACACCCACTCTACTGCATTTACATATATACTCACATAACCACCATATTGGCCAGGCACAGCACCATCAGCAGCACCGTCTGCAGTGTCTTCTTGCGATTCTGCAGGAAGAGCTTGAGACAGAAGGCATTCCCGGCGGTGCCCAGGAAGAGCAGCAGGGGATAGGTGATCAGATAGACAAACCGTGTCCATCCCTCCACGACGAACGCCTCGCGGCTGCTGGCGTTGTGCAGCGGACGCCCGCACAGATCCTCCAGCTGATCATCGGCCAGCAGGCGATAATAGCAGTACGCTGACCTGTTGCTCACATCCATGGTCAGGAGAGAATGGCGTCCGAGCTGGGAATACGTCGGCCGGGGACACGACATGGCGTGTTGGCAGCCAGATTCATGGTGTGCTGTAGGTTGTACGAGATTCCAATAAAACAAGGTTTATGGGACTGGGCCTGTCAAAAGGGAATTTTACGGCTCAAGCACTTGTTGCGCCAAGCACAGCTGGTATCGCGTTTGAATAATATCGTTTCCATAATGTTATCGTTTGCACTTGGCCGCACTTGGCTGCACTTCCTCTCTCGCGGTGCAAAGTCGCAAACTGCAGTGTGTACGACAGCGTGTGTGTGTGCTGAAGAAGCCTGGGGAAATTTGATAGCGCAGCTGTACTGGGAATTCACTAGAAGAAACCACAAGTCCGAGTGTTCAAAAAAAACCCACTGGTTAAACATAGCGCAACCTCGGCTTTCTCTGTTACATGGTCCACCATTTTAATAAATTTCTAACACGGAAAACGTTTTCAAACGATAAATCGTACAATAATTTTACGATTTTTATTTACAGAAAGGTACACTTGTTATACATTAAAATACAGTTAATTTTTGACATTTTATTTGGCGCAGCTGGTTTTTTTACAGTGCTTTTCAACTGGATGCGCTTAATTAGGCTACCCGGAAGTGGTCACTTCGCCACATTTTTGACGAACAGATGCAGGTTTCCCTTTTTTAACAGTGCCGTCTAACTGGGAAATGTGGCTGGAAAAATATTTGGAAAATACTCTTTGATATTCCAATACACTGGAGGACAAAGTGTAGTCACTTTTTCGTTTTGTGTCAACATTCACGAATAATCTAACACTAATAAACCATTGAAAGTTACTTTTCACGGCAAGCACAACGCAGCAAGTGAACATCGCCGTGTCAGCTGGATTTTCTCGCTGCAAAAATATTTGCTTTCGCTGTCTCCAGTGCAAAACCGTCGATATGACGTCTTTTGTATCACGTTATCAGATTAAACTATGAAACAAACTCTGTCTAGCAAAGAAAACTCACAGCTGAATGGACGCACTATATGACATTTGAATAGAGCATTTGCAACGTTACAATAAAACTTTCAAACCCTTTTTGCAATAGACTGAACAGAGCATTTGTATTCTGCCGGTGTATTGTAGCTGACTGGCTAGACCATAAAACGATATCCACCATTTCATCGGCTCTGCAATATGTACGTACTACGTACTGTACTACTCTTTACGTACCTTCGCACACGGGTACCATTACGGATTAAATTAGTTCTTTCACTAAAAACGAATCTATAGATAGATGGGCATATTATTTTACGGGTCGAAAAAGCTCGGACCATTTTCTAAAAGATAGTTTATCTGCCATGTATTCCTGCTATACGAGTACATATTAACGGAAATAGCACGTTCGACAGATTCTATTTATTTGGATCGAACATAATATATGAAACAATATGCTTCAAAAAAAAAATAAAAAAAAAACCTGAGGAATCTACGGTTCTAGATATAAATTCCCAATTATCGCGAAAGAATACTAAGAAGTACTAATTCGAAACGACACTTCCGGTATGATCATTTTCAGTTTGGATGTTCGATTCCTAATCCATCAGGTTGCACTTTTTGTGCATCCTGCTGTGAGATCGCTGCACCATCGGAATTCTTGAAGGCAATTTCATGGTGCTCTTGAGCGGGGAGAACTGGCTGGGTGCTGTTAGCGGCAGCTTGGAGTGCGACCACTTTCTGCTCCGATGGCTGTTCTACCGCGGCGACTGGTTTGTCGGAGACGGTCGATGCATCAGAAGCATTGGCATGGGATGCAGCGGTGTTGTTGTCCAAGTGGATCGAAAGGTCAGGTCTGTCGCCAACGGCACTAGGAACAAAGCCGCGGGGAATGTGCGAAACGTTGGCAGCACTGTCATCGGCATGTACGGCTGGAATGACATCGAAAGGATTCATCGCCATAACGTGCTCAGCGTGGGAGGCATTCATAGCGTGGGATTCGTTGCTCAGGCGGACATCCGCTTTGGGAATGACCTCAGCATGGCTGGCGTTGTCGGCAGCATGGGATAGCTCACCTGCAGCGTCGCGCTTTATGATAGCGTGGCTTGCGTTGTCGGCATGGGATTCGTTGGCCAACTGATCATGAACGTCCAGTTTGGGCTTGGCATCAGCATGGCTGGCGTTTTCGGCATGCGACTCGTTGCTGAGGTGGACATCCAGCTTGGGCTCCACATGGCTGGCGTTTTCCGCATGGGAGTCGTTGCTTAGGTGGAGGTCAGCTTCGCGTTTAATAACCGCATGGCTGGCGTTGTCGGCATGTGATTCGTTGGCCGACTGAATGTCCAGTTTTGGCTTGGCATCAGCATGACTGGCATTGTCAACATGCGATTCGTTGGTAAGGTGAACATCCAGCTTGGGCTCAGCATGACTAGCGTTTTCAGCATGGGAGACGTTGCTGTGATGGGCATCCAGCAAATGGGGTTCAGCATGGCTGGTATTGTCGGCATGCGATTCATTGCTAAGGTGGACATCCAGCTTGGGCTCAGCATGGCTAGCGTTTTCAGCATGGGATTCGTTATTCAAATGGTCATCGGCTTGCAGAGCGTGAGCAGGAACGTCGAAGTGGAATTCTTTGCCTTGTTCAGCGTGGTCCGCATGCTCCGCTTCCGCAACCGGCACACAAAATGCCGCCTGCCAAAATAAACAGCAAAATAATTCGTACAGAGCATTGACTGCGGTCTGGGCTTCTTGTATGGGGAATTTAAAATGATGTTGGCGTGTTTATAAATAAGTAGTTTTTTTAAAAAAATGATTCATTACCTTGTAGATGTTTATCAAGCTGATATGCCAAGAATTTTTTATGTCTTCTAGTCAAGAAATATTTTTTACGGGTGCCTTACCTTCACATTATAAGTACGCTACAGATACGTTCAGCGCAGGCCGCAATTTGTAACTAATATGACTACATACATAAAAATTCTCAAGGCGGATTGTGAAATAAGATATTTCGCAGAACTGCTTTATGTTATTCTAAAACAGTGCAAAAATTAATGTCGTAAAAATTGTTCCTTACCTGTGCAAAACAAGCGACTATCACGGAAATGCAAATAACCCGAAAAGCCATTGTAATACACCGTGGTCAGTTCTGCCAGTGCACTTGAAAACCCCGGTATAATTACAAGTAACAACACTGTATTCAGAGCAAATCAGCTGTTGAATATCAGCAGGTGAAGAAATACAGAGTTTTTCCGCCATTTATATAGTACTTAAATCCGCATCTCGACCTGGACCAAAAAAACAAATGACTAATGAATTGTTTTTAAAGAAATAAAAACATGGCAACGTAACCACCCGTTCTGTGCGATCGAAGGCGCCGCGCCGCTGTCATGACGGCAGCGCGTGTCTGCGGTTGGGGAGGTGCATAACCCGGCGAAAAACATCTCGGAGGGGGACGGCGCAATACGGCGGGTGTAGATACCGGTACACGGAGATTTGTGTACGCTGTTCGGTGTCATAATCTTCGCGGAATCGCGATCGTGAACCGTTACAATCGTTATGCCGCGGGTCACGCCGGGTATCTTCGAATATTCTGTACGCGGCGCGGATCTTGCAAACTGCTCCGTCATTGCCGGTACTCGTACTGATATTACAGAGACATCGTTCATCTCCTAAGAATGAATGACCGGATGCGCAAATCATTTTTTAGCAGCCCTAAAAACGTTTCTTAAAAAAAATTATTAACAAAAAAATACTGAAGTTTTTTGCTTGACTTTAACTTTGCAAAGTACTCTGTATGTCCCCTTTTGGGGTTTTTAGCCATCCAGGGGCGTAAAAAGAAATTCTTTTGCTACTATAGTACGAGCAGTATATTTTTAATTACTGTATTCAAATTTTTATGTATTTTTCATCCGAAATGCCTCACTGCATGAAACAATGCACATCTTACGTACTGGAAAATATTTGCGTCTCTTATCAGAAAGCATTCTAGGTACAGGTACAGTGCAAGATACGTATGTACAAGGCAATATTCCCCAGATTCCTTCTGGAAGGGTCACACTATGCGCTGCGACGTATGATTTAAGAAGAAGCAATCAAAACTCGCATAGACTATACAGCATAGTATTAGTGAAGATAACACAAAAAAAATAAGTTTTACATAGAGCAAATAGAAAAAAGTGGGATTTACACATTCGGCTGCATTTGCATGCACTGATTGTACAATATATAGTATACGAGACATACTTCCATCAAAGCTTCACAGAGGCAAAATCTCACTGACAAACACTCTGCGAATATTTTCAAGATTTGGTTAAAAAAATGCTCAAACAAAAGAGCAACGTTTTTTTTTCGTTCCTTTTCCATGTACCTTTTCTCTCCAATAAACTCTACATCGTTTGCATAAAGTGATCACAAGTGGCCTAATCACCATAAAAAATTTCGCATTTTCTTTTTAAATTAGCCGTTTTTAGAAACGTGGTGTTTCCATGCGGCAGAATCTCCATTTTCACTCATTCGAGTGCTCATGCGCTAAAACCATATATGACTTCTGCGAGTGCAATCTACCAATTCCGTATACCATAATATTACTAAAGCTTTAGCTTTAGTACTTAATATTATGCGTATACGTAATTGTAACAAACATCTGATTTTAAGGCCGGATACCTTTGTCAGCTCGCACAACATCGTAACTGTGGCAATAATTGACAACGGTACCATCGCTAATGAGGTGTGATTTCGGCTCTATTGTGTCATTTGGAATGAGACGCTCCGCAAGGTTAAGTATATGCGTCTATGGGAAAAACACCAGTGCAGTCCACATTTCCAAGTGTGTATGCTCTTTTACTTGTTTTTTCCAAGAACAATAAAAGAGGACTTGTTCAGAACAAAAAGTACTACAAAAATAAACTAATCTTAACAATTTCAGCTGTATCAACAAAATGTCGCACACCATTTTCTGCAAAAGCAAATGATGTCCCACGTTATAGCTCTTGCCATATAAACGTAGCCAGGGCGGCGAATTCGCTGTACTTGCATAGCTTTCGTTTACTCTTGTACAGAACCTGTGAAGTGTGAGCGTCATTAACTTGTCGTTACAACGACTGAGAAAAACGATTTATGGCAAGTTTTCAGCAACGACTTACAAATTATGTTGCACTTCTACTGCGTTTACTTTATAATCATACATTTACAACTTACATATGTATTTGCACTTTTCTGCAATTTATCACTAATCTTTAAAATTTTGCATAGAACTGAACTAGTTTTGAAAAGTTTAAACGGATCTTTTGAGCATTGCAATTTGCAAGCCAAAAAAATAACGATGTCAATTTTGTAAAAACTTCAGCTCTTATTACTATTTGAAAATATACTGAGACGTTTGCACCGTGATCCAATATCAACAATTTCGCGGAAAGACGTTTTCCTTTATATCATAAAAAGTGTATAGTGGTACCTACTCTAGGACTAACTACTACTATTTTGTAAACATTATCTGAATTATTTACATATCCTGAAGATATTCCAGAAAGGCGCGCCCTATAACATCCTAAATAAACTTTTACAATAAGTCTTTAGCGCGCGTTTTTAGAGAATCGCTTTTATAACTAAATTGGCTACTACAACCATTCCATAGGTCAAGCAATTTTCGCCAATCCACAGGCTGTTTACAAAATTTTCTGGAACTACTTACAGTAAACACAAACACCAATTCAAAAATATTTTCATTTTCACATTTTGCGCAGCATATAATTTCAACATTGATCATGAACTCTCAAACATATTTGCACCATGTCAGTGCAAAAGCATGGTTAGATTACTTCCATATATATGGCATTTCAGTAATAAAAGTGTATAACTTTATTTAAGTGTGTTATAGTAAGCGACATTAAAAGCAAAACGACATTAACGACGAAAAAACGGATCCGTTTCCGAATGGAGTTCTGCATATGGCGGTGTATGTCACACGATATTCTCTCATTCCAAATGACAAGCGCTAGGCACGCTACGCCTCTTATACCCTCGGCACGCCTGATGGTACCGTTGCTAATTTTAGACGCGTCAGACTTTCGAAGGAATTGACCTGTTCTCCCGTTTATTTTGTAGCAAATGAAGTGCAAAAATTGAATTACCAGCTTATTACTTGATCAAAAACATGCTTACAGTTATGTATTTACGATTTATACGGTAAAACAATCTGTATAATGCAAGGTTTTATAAAAACTACAAAGTACGTACTGTAAGTAGTACAGATGCATGAATCAATAAAATTGTAAAACTATAGCAAAATTGGTCCGATTTCGACTACAGAATCTGTAAATTGGTTAAAATGGTTTGGCTTTCGTTTTGGAATCATATTCGATCAGCAGATATCTTCACCGATTTTTGGTTTTTACAACATTTTCATGATTTTTACACCGTTTTGCTGTTTTCGTATAAACTGCACTTACTGGTGCACATGGTTCGCACCACTGCACAATGATAAAAAATTAAGTATTCATTTTTTTCGGAATGCGTGCTTGTTAATTTTGGCAAAGTGCAAGCAGCAGCTTCTAATTTCCCTGGCTATCGCGTTTACACAAGTAAATTATGGCAGTACAGTAGGTGCCTTGATTGTTATATTCGCTGTTTATTAGTTGTTTTGAGCATGTACTGGATTTTACAAGAGCGCAATTCTGGGAAATTGCGTGCGTTTCGCAATTGTGGTTTAGTAAACTAGAACGTAAACAGATTATTTTTTTCGCACGATGCCAGCTCGGTGCGATCGCGTAAAAGGGTCGGAGGGCTTTGTTGGGTAATTAATCAAGATTCTACGGATCGTGCTAGACAAACAGATAGTGGCTGTTGTGTTTTTTTTTGTTACCGCTTTACCACGCCGGCGTCGCGTGAAACCGCAAAAACGACCGCCGGTGATCGACACGCACCACGCCAGCAAGGCGTATAAAAGCGTCTGGGTGTCCATTAAATGCGGAAGAATGATTCTGCAGATATCTTTCTATATAGAACATTAGTACGTAATAATTTTTTTTCAACGTTAACTCATTGTACAAGTATCTTCACACAGCACACCACAACATCGTCGCATTCTTTCATATGATGACCCCGGATGCGGCTGCCTTAGAGACAACCTGATGTGCGAGTCTGCGACTGCCTATGCATGTACAAAGTACATACTTTTAATCAAATTAAACAACCGTAAATTTTACGCTGGTTATTCAATAGATTAGAATATCTTCCGCTTATTTTCTCCAGGAGAATAAAGCGGTAACGAGGTATTAATTATTAAAATAATAATGCATATGTATATGGATAATGGATACAAGAAGTGCGTTTTTATCGTGATTAAAAAGCCCAATACCACCTACATTTAGTTTTGGCTAATAAATGTACTCGTAATTGTCGTATCTCTGGAGTTTGATCACTTCCGATCGCATTTCGGCACATTTTTCGCTTTCCTGTTCGGTTTATTGCAGCATTCGGTATTAACAGCATTTGCAAAACGCAAATAAAAGCCAGGGAAGACAGGCAAATTAATTTTTCTGATTTCGCGCATGAGCAGTCCACAGAACAGTATAAAAGAATAAAACAGTCAGTTAAATTCTCCTGTGAACTCCAATCACTCCAGTGACACCGAAATGATGAAACCTGACACGAACAATACGTAAACGTGCCGTTTAATTAATATTAGAACATTACAACAAAGCCCATTGTCAAAATTAATAAAAGCCGAAGCAACAGCCGTGACAAAAAAACGGATTACAGCATCTTGCGGAATGGCTCCGTGCAGTCCGGCTGATTGGCCGGATGCGCCCCTTAAACTCCTCCAACTGCACCAGATTATCGTTGATCCGCTTGATATTAGGGAACAGCACATCCAGATTCACCTTGAGCAACTTGGCATTGTACACCTGCGGCACCAGACACACATCGGCCAGCGTCACCTCATCCCCGACACAGTACTTCCCGCTGGTTTTCTCCAGGATACTCTCCAGCGCCTTGAAGCCCTTCTCCACCCAGTAGCGGCCCCAGTCGGGCGAGTACGCGAACGTCCACTCCTCCGGCAGTCCCTGGGGTGCCGACAGTCCCGCCAGATTCTGATGGGGCTGGATCCCCGAGACGATGCTCTCCACGATGCGGCGGACCTGCACCCGCTTCTTCGGGTCCTTGGGCAGGAGGGGACGGGTGGGGCGCGTCTCCTCCAGATACTCCAAGATAGCCACTGACTGGGTTAAAGTGTGGCCGTCAATGACCAGGACCGGGAGCTGGCCCAGGGGGTTTAGCTTGAGGAACTCGGCGTCCTGGGGCTGGTTGGATTTGAGGTCGATGGGGATGTTGGTGTAGGGGATGTTCTTCCAGGCCAGCGCCAGCCGGATGCGCCACACGCAGGAGGAACGGAACCACGAGTAAAGAACGGTCTGGTCCGACATTTTTTTGGGAGGAAAATCAGGATGGGAGATGTGGTGCACCGCTAGCGAGTGAGCTGGTTTAAAGCCAAACTGCAACTTTACACAGGCGTATTAAACGACTGTGATCACGAGCTGTGCACGTTTAATTCGTGTTCAGACGCATCTCTCTCTGTCGGCTGTCCGCAGTCTTTAGTACAAACAGCTGGTCGTACGCGTATCAAACCGGTTTTCACGCTAATAACTGCACACTCGGTGAATTCTTTGTAATCGGCTGAAGTTTAATCTATCGCCCAACCGTAAATCACCCGCTTTGCCGGGAATTTTCTGATTTGGTGCCAAAATTATTCTAATCAGCGGTACCTGGATGGATGGAGATAAAACCAATGAATTACTACAAGTTTTTATGGTTGCTACTTCCGGTGCGCCGCGAACACGTGCCATATGCAGATGCGCCGTTTGACTATGCAGCAGCGGATGCCGGCTGCGCTGTACTGCGGCTTGTAAACCGGTTTTAACTTCCACATGCCGCGTGCAGATTTGAAGGTTGAACCGTTAACTTAAACGATTCACCAGTGAGATAACACTTTCTCGTCTCGTTTGAGCGCCCTGTCAAGAATCGATAAAACCCGCATATCACGCCAGCTGTGTATGCGCTGCTATGTAACAACCGGTCTCATACGCATATCACGTTTCTCAATCCGTGCTCATTTTCCATTCCATTAAAAATTCAATATTGATATAATCCTAATAAATTCTTTGCAAAAATGACGGGAGACGAAATCACCCTGTACGCCTGGTACCGCAGCTCCAGTTCGTGGCGCGTGCGTCTCGCCCTAAATCTAAAGCAGATCCCCTACAAACTGATCCCCATCGACCTGGAGAAAGGCGGCCAGATCGATCCCGCGTTCCTGCGCTTGAACCCTAAAGGCCAGGTCCCGGTGCTGCAGATTGACGGGGAGGTGTTGACCCAGTCCGTGGCCATTCTGGAGTATCTGGAGGAGACCCGACCCCAGCACCCCCTTTTACCGAAAGACCCCTACCAGCGGGCGGAGGTGCGCCGTCTCGTGCAGACCATCACCGCGGGGATCCAGCCGCACCAGGTCCTGACGGGGCTGTACCTGCCGGATCACGTCCCGGTGGAGTGGAACTTTGCCCGCTCCCTGGACTGGGCGGGGCACTGGATTGAGAAGGGGTTCGCGGGGCTGGAGACTATGCTAGCGCAGACCAGCGGGAAGTACTGTGTGGGGGACGCCGTGACGCTGGCCGACTGCTGTCTGGTGCCGCAGGTGTACAACGCCAAGCTGCGGCATGTGGATCTGGATCCGTATCCGACGATTCGGCGGGTGTTTGAGGCGCTGAGCGAGTTGGAGCCGTTTAAGAAGGCCCACCCGTCCGCCCAGCCGGACTGCACAGAGGAATATAAAAAAGTATTCTGATTTTTGCATAGTTATTTAGGTGTTTTGCTCATGGTCTTGGCTTTTCCCACTTTTTGGCTAACGGTGTGTTCTGTTTTGACGTGCATGGACTGCATGGTTGTCTTATTCGCACTATTGTGCGGAACGGTTTCTTCCTGACTGTGTGTCATGAAAATCATCCTGTCTAATCCTTCTGCATGCTGACTCTTGATCGATGCTGACTTACATGATTAATACGTACTAATTACTATCTTAAAACTATCACGTTACCACTTACGTGTTTTCAGTTCTCGGTGAATTCAACCGCATGCCTACGTACATAAAATACCATCCTTCTGTTATTATTCCATTTAAATTACACTAACTTTTATACCGGAAGTTCGGAACTAACAGTAAATGGTGCGACCGTACGAGGTTTCTATTAATTTTGCGCTATCAAAGCACAGATTAATCACTGTAATTTCATTAATGAGTTAGTATTCGTTAATGTGATAGGTCGTTACGTGTAAGTACGATGTTTGCGAGAAGTAGTGATTAAGTATTTATTTTTGTTTCGAGTACGTATCGTATGATCCACTCGCATAATATCGTATCCATTAATACAATATCCATATAATAATTATTATAGTATATGGTATCGTATTCATTATACGTAATATTATTGTAAATAATAACAGTATTAAAAAATACAGTACAGTGATATCAGAATGGTTTACGTGGATGTACCAAGATACTTATCGAACAAATTATTGTGCCGACATAACCAAGAACTGCGAATTAACAGAACAACGTAATAAAATTATTTTTACTGTCATGTTTGACGAGAGTTACTGAATATGATTTGCAGCTTTTAAATCAAGTGCAATTGTACAGATAAATATACCGGTATGTTTATACGATATGCATGGTTTGATTCATTTTTTAACGTTTAACTAAAATTATTTTTCGACGAAAATACAAAGTAATAAATAAGTAAGCGACTATCGTATGTCTAGTAAATGGATGAGTGAAGTCACGAGTTTGCGAGAAGGAAGAGTGTTTATAAAAAGATTCTTGAAGTATCAACTGTAACAGCGGTACCAGTTATAGATATAAAGTAATGAAAGTAGCTGTCTTAACTACCCAGTAGTTATGTGCATTTCTACTGTAGTTACTTATTTCGTCTCTGATATTTCCAGCGCACCGAGTACAGGAAGCAGCGCAACGAGGCAGATGATTAAAAAATATACGTATATCTATATACACGAGTATGTAAACACTGGATATCAATATCTATATTTACATTATTTGTTTCAGACGCGCTTTTAAAAGACTGGCACCGTTTTGGAGGAAGGAGAAGGTTGAATTTCTTTTCGAAGATGCAGATTTGGGAACCACTATCAACATGCCGCAACAACAGCGCGGACAACTAATTACTTTACATTTTGAGCTGTAATTGTTTATTTTATAAGCACTGTACATTGCGGTTATGGTGCGCACTGGGCGATACCAAGATTAATTTCGTGCTCAAGCGGATGCTCATAACAAATTAAATTAATTTGCAGCTGCAAGCTGAGGATATTACAACTTCGTAAAGACTGATAACCGATCAACTGCACGGCATATTATTAAATTACAACGAGTTATTAAATAACTAAAATAAAATTTATATATCGTATGTATCTGTTTGTTCAGTATGTGTGCGCAGTAGGGCAGGTTGTCAACAACGTTTTGGTTTACAATGTGATTTGTAAGCTAAAACTAAAATGGAAAGTTAATGTGATTGAACTACATTTGGCTGGACATCGAACCGGCGAAAGCAACAACTGTATAAACTTCTGTAAACTACTGTACATGATAAATACTTCAAGGAAAGCATAGATTCATCAGACCAGCATCCTTCCATTGATCGAAAATCGCACTTTTCAGACTCTGCACAAGGTCACGAATTCGCCAGTTGTCTTAACACTTTATCGGCTCGGGAAAGGAGAAACTATTGACAAAATAACTACCGCCAAAAATTTCGGCGTAAATAGTCTCCTCGTATGACGGATCATGTACAGTATTTAACGGGAAAGAAGAATTTATAGTCGCGCGCGTGTATTTCAGCGAAATGCACCCGTATACAGCGGCGACCACTTGATGGTTCCAACCTTCCAGAAAGCTGAAGCAGGCCCGCGGTCCACTTGATGGGAAAACGCTGCACCGGCAGAAAAACACCACTCCAGTCAGTCCTTTTGGTCACGATTTGCCTGCTGCCAGAGGAGTGTGCTCCATGTAGCAAGGTACGCAAAAAACTTCCCCACAGGTTTGATACACCATATGATACAGGTAGGTAGTATCATTTCGACGGGTAAACACTCAAGTGGCCGACCGCCAACAAACACCGCTGACACATCCAGCCGTCAGCGGGACCGCGGCACTTATCAGTCGGCCATATAAGACCACGACGGGACACCCGTCCAAATTGTCATTCGGGTTGTGTTCTCTCAGTGGCAGTTTCCTGAAACTTGCTCTCCCTTCCACAATGATCCGCGCCGTCATTCTCATCAGCTGCTGCGTCGCAGCGTTTGCTCGTAAGTTGACCTTGACCGTCACCTATTCTGTGGTTTTTTTACTGTTGAGCAGGCAACCAAATTTTTACATATTGTGCCATAGTAAACAGACATATTTAGCAAACAAATGTAGCAGACAACAAATGTTGTAGTTTTTTTTTAAACCAGTTTGTGTTGGTGACAATAATATTTTGACCAAAAGGCTGCATATAAGGTTTGGTAAAACTATAATATACTAAAGGTCAACGTTAGTCAGCGTTTCAGTGGAGGGTTTTGGTTAAAATGTATGTAACGATTGGTGCACCCGAAGGAAGCATACATCATACAAAATGATTGATGTGGAGGAAAAGAATTTCTTTGTTATAAATAATTGTGGGAATCACTGCGATGGGTTATAAGCTAATGAATTTGTTTTGTTGTAGAAACCGCGAGCAAATCCGGCTCCGGAAGCGTCAAAGGCGTCAGCGTATGCGGTCGTCCAGCGAATCCCGCCGACCGCAACTGGTCCGGCGGATCCCGCATTGTGGGCGGTCAGCCGGCGGAACCTGGCTCGCATCCCTGGATTGTTGGCTTGGTCATGTACTACGGACGGGGTTATGAAGCGCAACAATTCTGCGGCGGCAGCATCGTAAGACTCCATTCGGCTAGAATTAATTTAAATTAGCAACTGATTTTTGCACAAAAGATTTGATATTTTATATGTTAACTTTCTGTTTATCATTTATTTTAATATTTCGGTAGTTGTACAAGCTATTAACTACATGCATGCATCTTAACAGATTCCGTAATAATAAACTAAGTTATTAGCATTACCGTAGGCGGGTGAAAGAGAGCTACAAATCCTGTTGTTATGCTGCCTTATGCATGTTTGATATTTTTTGTGTCCGTTCGGAGCAGATCGCACCCAATGTCATCCTCACCGCCGGCCATTGCGTGGCCGACTTTTCCGATGAGGACATGATCCGCAGTGTCCGGGTCGTCCCCGGCGGCAACAGCAACCTGGCGGCCGCCTCGCATGACGAGCGCAACTTGTTTGAAATCCGCGCAGTCCGCCGTCATTCGCAATACGACAACCCACCCGGCACCACCAACAACGACGTCGCCCTGCTGATCCTGAGAACCTCTATCCCCCTCACTGGTAACGTCCAGGCTGTCTGCTTGCCCAGCTTCGATCCCACCGAGAAGGGCCGTGCTGCCAACATTGATTCGCAGACCGGCAAACCCGTCGTCGTCGTGGCTGGTTTCGGACATTTGACGGAAGGCGGTGGCGGTAAGTTGCAGTATGACGGTTAACCTATAAGCAGAACGCAGGAAAGCTAACCCATACGAAGAGGCGGAAAGCAAAACTGGTGACACAAACCGATAGCAGTAAGCCGATTCTAACTGCTATTATAAACATCGGACATGTACCGTTACTTATATTTTAGCCTTTAGATAAAGTCATACGTAGCGATTCGACATTATTGTTTAATTACTGTTTAGTAATTATGCTTGTTGCTTTTTTACAGGTATCAAGGGTAGCGTTGGCTCTGGCTCTGACCAACTGATGCATGTCTTCCTCGACTTCCAGACCCCCGCTGAATGCAAGGCCGGTCTGAACCGCAACGGCATGTACTTCGATCCCAAGACGATGGTAAACGATGCACTCCCAGTACAATATGTGTATGCGGTGTTGTAAAGACCGTTTCTCCCGTATAATACAGCTCTGCGCTGGATTCCCGGAGGGCAGGAAGGACTCGTGCCAAGGTGACAGCGGTGGCCCCCTGGTCATGAAGACCAAGGACCAACAGTGGAACTTGGTCGGTGTGGTGTCCTTCGGTGCCGGCTGCGCTCAGGGCGGCGGTGCCTACGGAGTGTACGCCAATGTCCGCAACTACGTCAACTGGATCCAACAGAACATGTACTAAAACACCTCAGTACATCCAAGATTCCTCCTGATTATGTCTGAGTTTGACGTCTGTTTGCTAATTTCGCACTCGCAAACATCTTTGCATTAGCTGTACAAGTATAAACGATTCCACGACAAGGCTTTTACAAGTACCGCATTTTTCCTGATGCTTGTAACTGATGTCTGCAGCAACGCAATTGCTGGTGATTGGTCTAATATAATTAAAGAGCAAATACAGGAATTGCAAATAAAAACAAAATTGCTTTCCGTTCTATAATCTAATTTTTTGTGTATAGAACATTGAATCGGTATATAATAAACAAAAATCCATTCGTATGTCTGATGTGTTACCCTCAACAGGCATACAGTTATAATTAGTTTACATTTATTGTCACGATACTGAAACAGATCGACGGAAGACAGAACACGCTAAAGGTCAACGCCTTAAGGCAAATATGGGAACTTATATAAAATGGTTCACGAATATTTGATTGCATTGTGAATACTTTCGTCACGGTGTAAAGGCTTTACACCTTTATGTACACCATGCTTTCATGTAATAACTGCACAATTGCCCGAAGATTTCTTTTACGTACAATAATATTACGTTATTGCGTATCCACACAAACTGAACGTAGTATCGAAGCAGACACCTGACCTTTCGTCTTACCCTTTCATTTTGTTAATTTTACTCCCGGCTAGTCGAACTCAGGCTTTGGTAAGAGAATTGTGAGGCACAGAGATACCGTTATTATTGAATTTGTGCCACCCCCACACAATAAGGGCACCCCCCCGTAATAAGCACACCTCTCCCTTCAAGTTTGAAAAATTAGGGCAACACTCTCAGAAATTGCCGCACAGGGAGCCGTTAATAAATGCCAAGCGCAACAGACTATCAGTAACAATCATGTACACTACATACTAATGCGGTTCACCGCATTTGTATGTAGATTTGATTGGATTTGTATGAACAATGCATTTGATTTGATTTGTATGTACATTTGATTGTATGTCCATTTGGTGCAAGCATTCACTACGTGGTGAATGCTTGCTGCAAGCAGTTGTATACGAGGGTCTAATTACGAGTTGCGATTTCTAAAACTTATTGAGCGACCCTCGTACATTTCCGAGATGCTGCGCGCAAGCTGTGTAATTCCATGTTGTCAAAGACCGGTAACTACAGCTAGAGTACACTAACTACACTAACCGGTAACAAAACTAATCTACCGCTTTCCGTTTCGGTAAAGCAGGATGCGCTCTTGTTTCGAAAAATCTTGGCACCTTTCGAAATTTATTGTTTGAAAAATATTTGCACCCATTAAAATAACGGCACCTCCTAGAAATAAGCGCACCTAGTTGCCGCCCAATGCCACACATTCGATAATTACGATATTTATTATTGGTAAATTCTGCAAGTCTCTTTACTTTGATTGTATACCAGATGGTTGGTCCATTAATTATCTTTTGGAGTTTTTTTCAATTCAAACGACTAATCTAAATCGTCGTTTGATAATACACTGTAGTCAACGAAAGTGGATTTTGCTCTATGCATCCCGTCGCTCTATAGGCTAGTGACCCTAGCCAACATAATTTATTGTTGAAATTTTTACCGGTTTTCTCGACGAATAGCTTGTCAAAACTTTCTGGAGGCAGTGCTCGTCTTTTCAGTTATTCAAGTGAATCAAAGGTTAGGAGAAGATAATTATAGGTGCTACAAAATACGTACTACGAAATTATACTATAAAAAATTTTTATACCTAGTACTGTATATGATTGGCCTTATGATTTGGCAGCTGCCATTAAAATAAAACACAAGTCTGGAAATGTTGGCTTTCAGCGTAGATTTCTGACAAGCAATGTGTTTATACCGCATCCGTTTCCTCGTCGATCCCTTATTTAAAGCCGGGTACAGCCAATAAAAACATTCGTATCCACTATTTTCCATATTTCTTCGAGTTCAACCTATCTGTGCTACATCACCACACTCAACATGCTGAAGGGTCGCTGGTACTACTGTTGGCCGTCGCTGGTGTTGCCGCAATGCCGAGCGACAAGGAATCCACCATAATTGCCAACGTATGCTTAACCTAATGCTTTCCACAGCAAGCGCATGACTGACCTTTGTATTGGTTTTTAAAGGAAGCATGGAAGGCAAACACCGCGGGCGGAAAGCCGACTGCTTCCTGCTGCAGTGTACGGCATATGGGAGCCATTTTGAAAGTCCAGAGCTACCAAAAGCAGACTTTTCAAAATTCACCCGGCATCACCAGATACATCATGAAGGTAAACTACTCTGCACAGTGTTTTGCTGTTGCAGTAACTACTCTACATTGTCGCGCAGTATCGAGAAGTCTAACAGAAGTTATACAAATAACGTACTTCATATCGTTAATAATTTTGATTGATACCGCTGTGCGTACATTATAATTTTACAAAGTGTGATGTGCATATGCGTACGGACAGCAAATATTTAGTATACGGTTTTGAGAAGAAATGTGGTTTTTTATGATATCTGTATGTATAACTGTATTCCACCAACCAATTTGTGGTTTTAATTTTGTGATTGTCAGGTGGATATTATGATGCCTGAATCCGGTTCCATGTTCCCGGCCTACGTAAAAAAAAACCAAGCGTTTGAAGTGGCCAAAGGACCCGGAAACAAACTCACCACTGGAAAGAATCCATGCTACAATGTTTTATCCGGCTTGAGCAGACCTACGTAATCGTAAATCGCTTCGTTGTAATTAAGCTAAATCTGTCGCGATGCTGTCCGACAGTTTCTTGTCACACGAAGTCACAATTAAGAAGTTAATTGTTGTTAATGTTAGCTGGAGGATATGCCTCTCGCTCTTTTCTTTTCTCCCGCCTTAGCGCGTTACGTAGACCTCTAGAGAGGGCGCTGCGCGCTGTCGTGGCCCTTAAATCAAAGTGGCCGCCGGCGCGCTTGCGCGTGCTGTTTGCGCCCGGCACTGCTCTTGTGCCGCATTGGGTTTTTGCGTTTCCGTTCGACATGCACTTGTCTTTGCATTTCTGTATCGTGTGCGCGCGCGTGATCTTGTTCATTTACCACCCGCCACACCCTTCAATTTCTTTTCTGTTATTTCGCATTCGCTCGACAAAGGGGCCTTCGGTTGTGCAGGGCACTGGTCGCTCTCCTCTGCCGACCTCCGGTCGGCCGGCTTTTCGCTGACCCACGGTCACCGCACACAGCCGATTGCCGAGAGTACCAGCTTTCCAGCAACCGGGGTTCCAGTGCCCACAGTGGACTCCGGAAGCGGTAACATTAACCGCATTATTAGAGAATACCGCTGGCAAAAGTAAGGAACTATACACTGCCGAAAATATTTGAGTGTGGCAAGAATGATGCGTATGCAACGCGATTCTAAGAAAACATGTTAAAGTAATAAATTAAAGGTCATGTCTGTGCATGAGAGAACGCTCGCGCTATGAGCTGTGGCTAGTGACTTCACCATTCCGTTCACTAGGGTGATGCGGACCACTGGTTGGCAGTCGCTTTTTCTTTGTAGAATGGCCGGTACTGAATTCCGCTGACCGTGATGCTAAAGTTCAACTTCAAACCGGAAATTTGTTAAATTTGCGACTTTCCAGAATTACATAATTATGCGACTTGACTTTGAGCTGGGAAAATTTAACAAGTAATATTTTCGAAGTAAGAAGCAAGAATGCACTCTGTACGATAATTTGAAATTGCTAGGGATCACAGTGAACATCCAAGGCACCAATCATTGTTCGGCTGGTGTAAATTAAATATTCGTCATAATATATAATGCAGCTTTCTAACAGAGAAAGCAGAATGTCATATACTAATAACATTTCTTAATGACTACAGTGTAACTGTAATCGAAATATCAAAATATTTTGATTTTAAAAGACGATCTTTTTGATTGCCGTTATATTGTCAATCAGTTACATTTCGTCTCGTGTTTGATATTTCCAAAAACACTTTTTTTCCATCAGCTAACTTGAGCGCTGTTTTGTAAAAAAATATAACCAACAGCGGAAATAAGTAATGGACTTTGAATTACGGTCAGCATCTCCAAGGTAAACTGCGACTGTGCATGCAACATTTTCAATGGACAAAAATCTAATTATCTGTTGTAGTGCGTAAAAATGCAATAGTTATGGTAGCCGCATAACACTAACAACGCGCCGACAGTCGCGTGCGGACGCGTGTATGCGCATGGCCGGTGTGTGCACATGTGGATCATGCTATTGCATAATTAAGTTTTATCTGCCAAGGGAAGTGTATCGATAGTCTTGGGTGGTATACTGGAAAGTGTGACAACGGAGAGGAATGTCGTTGGAAATGTTGTGAACTGTATGCACCGGCATGTGGCTAGACAGTCTGATTTTGTGGCAGTGTGCTTCTGGGCTCTGGCGGAAGATATACAATCATATAATATTATTGCATCCTCACTTTACGGAAGATATTGCATTCTCACATTACGATCAGTGCGGAATAAAACTTTACGGTATCAAAACGACTAAACATCGTTGTTGCGGGATATCGTAAAGGTCACAGACGTGGCTGTGTAGAGATACGGCTAACAAACTGGTGCCAAAACCAGTTCAGTAAACGTACGGAGCTTGGGATTTTTATAATTTTCATTAATTCCTGATACACTGCACGTCTGTTTTCGCTGGGTATGCGATACGCAGCAGTGAAAATTTTCAGTCTAATCTTTTACGGTAACACCTGCCATCATTTACGGTATTCCTGTGTGTTGTGAACTTGTGACACGCTGTGGATTATCATCAGGCTGCTTTTGTGGCTATTTGCTCTTTGTTTCCCAACGTTGTCCACAGTCCGGAACGATACGTGAATGCATACGTTGCAATTTTCCCGACAATTACGTGTTAGGTTGCCGCAACAATGTCCACCAGTGGAACCACTCAGCCAACCAATACATCCACCTACACTTCCCAGCCAATTACCACGACTACACATAAAACATCAAGCACGGGAACCGTGCAACTGCTTAGTGCGCGGGAGCTGGCGGCGGAACTGGGCACTTTACGCCTGGCCAGACCAGCACGGAAGTTGGAGCTGTTCCAAGGACCCGCAAAAACGACGTTGTGGCATGGCTGCGCCGGTTTGAGACGGTGTCACTGGCGCAGCGCTTGGATAACGAGCGCCGCACAGCGCAAGCGTCCGCCATATGGTGGGATCGCGTCACGGATGACGGCACCCGGCAGCCATACACCACATGGAGGGGATTTGAAACGGCGATTACCCAGAGCTTCCA